ATTATACCCGCATTTTTGCACATACCAATAAATAAAATAACTAGATATAAAAGTGAATGTCTGTTTGTACGTATGTTCCGAATAAAAATTTCTATTGAAACAGTGCAAACCAAATTTTGCACACATCCACTTCGGGGTCTGGGCGATGTTGTAGGCCACTTTTTTTATTCGATATCGATTTTATAGATGTCTTCTAAAGTTTAAGCTATCGGAGTTGGCGGGAGGGGGATGGTAAGTGAACATAACCATGAATACAAAATTAGGTAGTTGTTAACATTATCAATTACTTTTATCGTTTTTTTGCAAAGTTTGAGTGGGTTAGGAATTGGCACAGGGGTGAGGAACATGCTGATTATGAAAACATATTGGATACGTATTGGCGTGTAATCTTGGGACCGGTACAGTGAGATTGTACGGATAGAGCACAATGAATTCTATCGTAGTGCACTGACGAGACAGGCGAGCCGGGTATGCTAGCTAGTTTTCAAAATTTTATTTTTAATTGATAAATTGCTAAATGCTGAATTTTTTACGATATTGTTCGCTTTTTCGCCGTAGATCAGTCAAAATAAAAACCCGCAATGACTTTTGTTTTTCTTCACCTAAAAACTCTTTCTCCCATACAAAAACCGTCGTACTTGACTCTTGCCCTAATCGAAGTTGTCGCTTTTTCAAACTGATTTATAAGTAAAGGAGTTTTGGTCTAAATGGGTATGTAGTAGTGGCGGGCAGGCAGGATTCCTGTTTGGGATGAGGGGAGGGAGGGGAAGGCTTGGCATAAATTTCTTTCAAATGACGATGCGTGCCTCAGCCACGCACTTCAACTTTGGGCTGCTTCTGAAAATTTTTGCGGGCTCATAACCGAAATTTTGGAGAAAAGGGGACGTGGCCACAACTACTCCCACCCGAATAACATCTTTTCCAAAACTAATTTGAATTTTCAGAAATTTTCAAAATAATTTCAAGTGTTTACATGAATAAAAAAAGCACTTGCACATTTTTATAACTATTGTAGGTAAATTTCCAAAACCACTCCCAACTCACTGCCGAGGAAGGGGGGGGAGGGGGGGGGGGAGAGGGACAAGTTCCTTTCTCTTTTTCATTTCCGCCCCTAGCTTTCGCTTTTGGCAAAGCTCTTCTGTGAAATGATTCACGAATATTTTCTTTCTAGAAGTTGACATCCTTCAAATATGCAAAAAGCGATAAAGCAATGCTTTCGCGGTAATTGTTATGGTGAGTCGTTAGGTGTGGAAGCAGAAAGTGAGTTTTAACTTCCAAGTCCCTTTCTTATAAAACCTTGGCATTTGTCGAATCAATTTTCTGTTGCTCCGAACAGGCTTGAGAAGGTCTTCATTTCTTTCCAATCACGGCCTTGCGTTTCAACTCCTCTTCTCAAAGCCCTGAAGTTTTAAACGTTATCTTAACTCCAAACCACTAAGCGTCTCCTCTGACTCTGCTAATCTTCGGCCTTCTCACAATCTATAGTTCATTTACAAAATCGTGATGACGGATTTCACTGCGGACTTTGCGCCCATAGGAGCATAAAACGCTCATATAGGGGTGCAGGATAGCGAGAGCCGGACGTGCGTACGGCTATCGCGCCGCGCACGTCAGATGTGCGTCCGACGACTCAGGTAGGTGCCAGACTTAACCTGTTGAACAATTTCATTCGGTTCACCACCTTTGCTGTTGGAAGTGTAGTGATTTGACCTATAAACCGAACAAACCAGGTGAAGCGGATAAGTCTGGCACCTGCCCTAGTGACATCGGACGTGCGCGGCGCAATGGCCGTACGCACGTCCGACTCTCGCGATCCTGCAGGTCCTTTAGAAGAAGTCATCGCCTCAACGTTCAGCTCAGTCACTTCCTGTGTCTAAATATTACCATACATAAGCAAAAAAATCATCCAACTAGTGATGAAAACCAAGAAAATCCGATTACCGGAAGTGGCGTGGTTCGCGATTTTCAAATACCCTACACAATCATAAATCACATAACGATATACATACGAGAGAAGTCAGAAGTTATTGATAAACACTTGTTCTTGTTATTCATCCCTGAACTCTTGGTAATAATCGAGAAAGCTTTCAATGTTTTTCTAGTAAAATCCTTGTTTTATACGCAGAAATAATATTAGAATTTCCTCTAACGATCAAATCTCCCTATAACTGCCAAGCGGCATAGGGACGTTTGACACGTGCCAAACTCAAATCCTTTTATCGGTCAGATGTATCTTTCATGCGGATACCAAATTTCTCACCATTTCTCCAACATAAACTTAGGAACTAAGGTCTCAATCTGATAAACGACTTCCACTTTGCACAATCCCCACACTGCCTTGCGGACATGCTATGTTTGCTCTGTCGTACAATGTCGTAGAGCCATTCTAGACTGAAGGAAATCCGTTGACGACCGCCCCGTTTCATGCGTTTAAAGCACCACGGGCGTGCCCTTTTGAAGCTTTTCCAGCGTCATAGTGTGCTGCAGTGCGCGGGAGTATTGCGCTCGCAGCATCAATGTCCTTTGATTTTTCTTGTTGATTAAAGGCACCTAGATCAACACACACTCAGATAATCGCTGGGGTTAGACGGCCATGCGATTTATGGCAGACGGGCACCGGAAATATAATTCGCTGATTTCTTGCGGTCCGCTTGCAGATATTTGTAAGAATTTTGGGGAAATTTCAGCCGAATGTTCGGAGAACTACTGCGGCTTCTTCATTGATTAGTTGTGGCGCAGTGGCCGCATTCTCGCAAATCTTCCGCAAGAATATGCAAGATTATTGAGGTTTGTACGGTCCTCAATAAAGAGCCGCACATCCCTAGGTGCTTTCCGCAGGGAAAAAGTACCTTAAACTCGGGTAATTGAACCAACGATAACACTGATAACCTCTGCTATGCAGAGTGTTACCTCTGCTCGACAGACGCCCAAAATTGCTAAAAAGAGTCCGAGCGCTCGCTGAAAGCTTGGCCCGCGCTCGCTAAAAGAGATTATTTGACGAGCGTCTGCAGATAATTTTGTATTGCTGTTTGCTGGCAGAACACGGAAGTATCGCTTGCTGAATGTTTAGCCGCGAACCAAAATTCTGCTGATCGCTTGCAGAAAGGTGCGAGTTTACGGACCGCCTGCCGTCGGCGACTCTCTGAATAGGTATGAAACAGGCCCCGTGAGTATACGATTTGCGTTGGTACGATCCTTTGATGTGGCCTCCAAAAGAACATACGGGCCTGTGATACGTAACACAAAAAGCCCCTCGTATCATAAACCTCCCCCTGAGAAGGTAAGCTCACGCATCAATCGATTATGGAGCGCAGCTGCACCCATGCAGTTGGGCTTCCTCTGGCGAGCCGAGAAGATGAGTCCGGAACTCGCCCGCGCCCTTCAAACAGGGTTTCCAGGAACTGGGTTCTTTCATGGTTTTGAACAATTTGAACTTTATGACTGTAATCAGGGCCATGGAAAGGCTCTATAATGACAAAAACATAGGCGGAATTTTGCCTGAATGCTGCTTTTGAGCATTTATCAATGTATTTTTCTTCATAGTTTTCATTCCTAAAAGTTACTGTTTTCCATTTCTTTAAAGTACTCACGATAATCAAATGCCCTTTGATGAATAATGAAATGAAAAAAAAAGAAAACAAGTTTTGGCGTAATTCCTAAACTCCTCCTTTTTCTTACCTACCATGAAATCTCCATGAAATTATTTTAAGAATCATCGCTCCGGGCATAGTTAGGGGAAAGGGTGAGCTTTCTTAGGAAGCATGATAGCCGTCATACATCCTCCAAAAGCGAGCCCACTCGAATGCTTACTTCAGCACATTTGCATGTGTCCTTAATGTAAGCGTGCTGAAATAACCAATTTAGTGGTTTCGAGAAAAAAGGCAAATTATTACAAAAAAAAGAAAACATGCATTCTCGTTCATTCCCTTAGCCACAATATCCATCACTGCAAAGAAAATTATTATCCCATCTAACTTTGCCTGAAGCGATGGTCGTAGGGTTCCTTCATATTACGTTGCAGGACGCAGCAGCCTGCCGCAACACGCCGCTGCAGTGAAAAAATACGCGCTCGCTGTAAATGAGCGCTCTTGGAAAACTTGGTTTCAAATAGCAAATTACTCAGCTACATAAATACTGTGTATGTGTTTGTATGTGTGTGTGTGTGTGTGTGTGTGTGTGTGTGTGTGTGTGTGTGTGTGTGTGTGTGTGTGTGTGTGTGTGTGTGTGTGTGTGTGTGTGTGTGTGTGTGTGTGTGTGTGTGTGTGTGTGTGTGTGTGTGTGTGTGTGTCTGTCACGAAATTCATAGAGCGTTTTGTAGGCAAGGTCTTGAGCTGAAATTTTGGCCATAGCACCCTACCAGCATGTAGGTAAAAGTGCAAAAGCACAAGCTGATCCGATATTTGGGACCCTTAAGAACTGCGCGTCAAACGGGCCCACGCAACATTTGGCAAGCAAAAACTAGGTCATTAATTCGACTTTTCGCGAAGTCATGATTTGCCTGAGAAGTACATCTGCGCCTTCTAGCCCAAAAAGTGCTCAAAAAGATTGCTTTTCTGCGACAACAGCGCCAAGAGGTGAAGATCGCTTATTCAGTCGATTTGGCAAGGTTTTACCTTCAGACTTGGAAAGATTTCTGCACGAAAATTTAGCTTAAAGTGACTATTATCCTTATGACAACTACCAAGCCAAAACAAGTTCAGTAATCTAATCAAATTCGCAAGTGTTCCTTTGCGACAAGTTTTTTTTCTCTTAAAAATACCGATCTCACGTGGAGATGCTTCGAAAACGGACAGTTGTTTAGTATTTATTTGTGATGCTCAGCTTGGGTATGGTGGGTTTCAAAATCATCATTATGCGAACATGAGAAAGGCAAACGGATAGGAGAGCCAGTGCGAATCTCCGCGAAGCGGAGGTGACCCAATGGTCGAGGAATAATATGCAAGCGGGTAGTGTTCTTATTGACAGGAAATACACAGCTTAACAATAGAACGAATCATTTTCAACGATGCGCGGCAGAATGAGGTTCGTTGCTTTTCAACGGTGAATGCAAAAAAGGTTAACAAGCTTTATGCTCCCGCCTTCAGTGGCGTCACTTGCGGATTATTGCTTTCATCGCCTCGCCCATATACTACTTTTTTCTGAAAGGTGTTCTGCTTATTTGCTTCATTGAAAACTTCTTACCTGCTTACAGCAGCAGTTTCTTAACGCGCAAGTCTGCTATCATCAGGCGGATGTTAACGGATCAAACGAAAGAGAAGGAAACCGCAGGCGCTTTTGTGAATCTTCAGTTCTTTATAGTACAGAAGCTGTTGAAGGGGTTGGATGTATTACAGCGTTACTGAGTTGCTTGTTCGAATAACTGATAAATGTGCGCAGCTGCAAGCATACCTAATAAGGAAAGCTGCCTAACTCAGCTTGGCCTTTTGGTAAAAGGCATATATATTCTGAATCAGCTTTAAACGCCGATTCCAAATGTGCTATTGCTAGCTGCCACGCAGCATTCCAAAGCGAGTTATGGGCTCTTTCTTACGCAAAATTGGCATACTACTGAACATGAGAAGACTGCCTATAGAATTTTGCGCAGGAAAAAGCCCATAACTCGCTTTGGAATGGTGTGTGGCAGCTAGGAATAGCATGTGGGAATCAGCATTTGAAGCTGAATTACACCGTGTTCAGGATTTATGGTTCATTGATTATTGCGTACGGCGGAAACTGGGTAGGGAAACGAAAGGCGCTAGTTTGGGCCGCCTCCGCGGACTGCTGGTCCTGGAACGACATGCAACAACACTGCGAAAGGACTAGTTGGCGGCGAAAGTCGACTCAAACTGGCGGCTTTCGTTCCCCCACCCGCGGAAACTTTTATACATCATGTTCATTCTTGAAAGAAAGCTTTTGTAGACCTGCGTGGCGAATGTGCGAGGATTGGTGCACATGAAAACGTGATTTTTCTCGAAGTAGCTGGTTGAGAAAGTTTTTCGCAAGAAACCGTAAACTTAAACGTTCACGTGCCGTTCAAGACTTAGCGCACAGCGGTTGCAGGTGTTTTGTTCTACACAAAAAGAGTTATAAAAGAGGTCACTTGGTTGAAGTAATGATTGTTTAAATGCTGTAGACCGACGAATAGAGCTTGAACCGCTGATTTTAGGCATACATTCTCTTAAGAAGCATTAATTTGCGAAAAGCTCTGGACTTCTATTTTGCCTAATTTGCGTGCATAGAGACTTGCGTAGTAATGATAATCATAGCAAAAGCACATGAAAATTCAATAAAACACCTGAAAAGAATAGTAAGCCTAGCCTTCTATAACTGAACTTCCCTCGTTTTCTAATGACCTTGTTATACGAACTTCGTAGTTCGTATTGTTCTTTTCTCCCTCATGTATAGACTCATCACATCCTTGTAGTTTAGTCATACTTTGCCAATTGCACAGCATCGTTGAATTTAGCAGCTTGCATCGTTTTTGCTATTGGAAGAATTCGCAGATGTTCGCGTCAGATGTGAATTGCTCAGGTTTTTAGCTAACAGTAGGATGTCGCGCGCAGCTGTGGCTTGATATGTGATCACGCATATAAGTAGCTGACTGTGCACAGTCAGAGTTATTCACATGTACGACTCTTGCTCATTTGTTTCAACATTATTTCACTTTTATATTTGTGCCTTCTTTCAATCATATCATTTTTATTTGTAGTTCATCATTTAGTAATGTATTTTGTTATTTGTTCTACCCGTGTTTGTTGTTATCTGTTTAATCGTATTTATTGTTGCTATTTTGCTGCCTAGATAAAGTTTAATTACCCAAGTTTGAGGTGTGCTCGTGCGTATACGAAGTCCCGCGTGGCAATACTTTTGGTTGTGGTTTGGTATTCGAAGCCTTATAGTTCTGACATATCCCAAGCCACTAACTATTACAAGTGGTGCATCGCCCAGATCAAGAGGTACCTTTTATTGCAGAAGATAAAGTGTGTCTCGCTTGCTTTGCACGATACGCTTTGATTGTTGCACGATAGTGGATCACCTGCACATACTGGAATCGCACGGAATTTCTTTTTGAATTGCATAATGACAACTACAGTAAGAGCGTATAAGGGACTTCTGACCAAAAGAAGCCAAGTCGCTCTGGCATGGTTGGAAGAATCCACACAGCGTCTTCAACACCTGAAGGAAACAAGCACACAACAAGAGCAAGTCAAGGAGTTCACAATGGCTGTGGCGCGGTGTGACGAGTACCTAGAACTTCTCGAAGCATCCTTAACCAAACTTACGGAAGCCTTCGATAAACTTCAGGATACCACAGACGCAGAAGAAGATCAGTTAGACAAGCACGCAGAGATTGCTCAAGAGACGATCATGAAGTTATACGCACACAAAACCAATACCAAGCGAATGCTACAAGAAATAACGACGACAAGTACGCTCTGAACAAGTGGAACCGACCACCAATGTTCTGCAGCGGTCAGTAAACTTCCAACTATACCTATTCCAAGCTTTACAGGAAAGAAGTGGGAATGGGACAACTTCTGGGCCATGTTCAAAGCCAACGTACACGACCAGGACCTAACGGAATTGCAAAAATTCAATTACTTGCTGTCAGCCCTGAGTGGGGAGGCGAAGCAATCGATCTCGCGATTCTTCGTATCAGCAAGTAATTACGAAAAAGCCGTACAACATTTGGCGAAACGCTATGACAACAAAGATGGCATCATACTGGAACTGAACAAAAGCCTACACAACTGCTTGGCAAGAGGACCCACCACCGCAGATCAGCGTCAACTATGGGACAAACTTTCCACTATCGCAGCGCAACTAGAAGAACACGAGCAACACCTCAGCAATCAAATAACTATCCAGATATTTCTCCAGAAGTTCCACGTACGCATTAGGAAAGCAGCTATGGAGAAACGACTCAGACACAAAGAAGAAAACAACAGCGAGTGGACATTGGACCAATGGCTCGACGCCATTGATGACATCATATCACAAGAGGAACAAATCAACCACATGCTCTCGGTTGAAACACAAACAAAAAATCATGCAAATTACAATACGATGGCGATGAAAACACCTTCAGGATCAACCGGCAAATGGAAATCAAGCAACCTATGTGAATGCTGTAGAGGTAACGGACACAGGTGGATGAACTGTTCGCAAATTCCTACAGCAGCACAGAAAAAAAGTTTCCTGCTTGACACTGGCAGATGTCACAACCGCGGATCGATTGATCACAGAGTAGCTTCATGCCTTAGCGGCAACTGCCGAAAGTGCGGCGAAAAACATCATACGGCAATATGTTCGGAACAAAAGCCGGGCGAAGGCGCGCAAAATCGGTCGGAGCGAAGTCAACAGAAGAGAACAGAAGTACCAAGAACACCCAAAAATTAGCTGAAGACGCCAACAAAACCTTATTGTTCTTCGAAGCAGCATGTGGTAACGGAGTCAATCGCACAAGATACTCACGAAACGACACAGGGAGCAACGGAAAGTGCCGAAACTCCAACAGTACTACAGCTCAGGAAAGAAAATGGTTGGAGACAGAACAGAGTAGTCCTACTCGCAGGAGCAATCCAGGTACTCGACACCGATGGAAACAAAAGGGAAACAGTCGTCCTGCTGGATACAGGTTCAGAGCTCTCTTTTATTGGAGAGGAGCTTGCAAACGAGCTCAAGTTGCCAACATTAGGCACAGCCTCTCTCGAGCTCAGCATATTTGGGTCACCTGCAGTGAAGACAAGAACGTGCGCTAAAACCGTTTTGAAGATGCTGGACAAAGAAGGCACACAACACGAAGTACAGCTGTATAAAAATGATTATATTACAAGCTCTGTACAACGAGCGAACCTCGACCCCGAAGATCTACGGTTCATCAAGGAAGGAAAGTACGATTTGTCTCTGCCTGTAGAAGGTGGAGACTTGCAACCACAAATCCTCTTAGGCTGCGATTACCTTTGGAACTTCATGGAACCTAGCAGCAACTTGAATTTACCTTCGGGACTGCACCTGATACCGACCAAGCTAGGATATATCATTAGCGGTCGACAAGGATACACGTGCCAAAGGCTGGCGGTATCATGCACACTCCAGGGACATGAAACTGAAAAGGAGACATGGGACCGCTACTGGTCTTTGGAATCCACCGGTACGGAGGAGTACACTGGTCCACAAAAAACGGAGCTCCAGAAAACAAACGAGAAAGTATTGGAAAATTTTAAGGAGTCCATCGAGAAAAGGGAGGACGGCTACTACGTACGCCTACCATGGAAAGAGAACCATCCCGAACTCCCCGATAACAAGGCGCTAGCAATGAAACGTCTTGCAAAGATCCTGGAGATATATCAAAAGGACCCGAAGACACTACAAGCGTACGACAACATCTTCAAGGAACAACAAGAGAAGGGAATAATAGAAGAAGTAACATCGAAGTACGTTGATGAAGGAGAAGTAGTCCACTATTTACCGCATCAGGCGGTAATCACTCCCTCTAAGGAAACGACAAAGATGAGAATCGTCTTTGACGCGTCAGCCCACTACAAAGACTGCCCTAGCCTCAACGACGTACTCCATCAAGGCCCTCTCATCCTCCCGGATCTGGTTGGAATTCTGCTTCGATTCCGAATGCACAGTATCGCAGTGATGTCGGACATCGAAAAGGCATTCCTACAAGTACGACTGCAAGAAAAGGACCGTGACGCCACCCGTTGTATCTGGGTCAGGGATATCTCACTTCCACCCACGCCGGATAACATAGTGGTCTACAGATTCACCAGAATTACCTTCGGACTCAACGCTTCTCCTTTCCTGTTAAGCGCTACGATAGATCATCACCTAGAAACCACAGCAAATGATGACGACATGGCCCCGGAAATAAGAAGGAATTTGTACGTGGACAACTTATTCTTTGGTGCACAATCTTCAAACGAAGCACTTTTGAAGTATGCACACACAAAGAAGCTCTTCCAAGACCTCAAAATGAACTTGAGAGAATTTTGCTCCAACGACAAAACCTTCTGCAACGCCATTGATGAGGCCGACA